GCTTATTCTTTCAAATCAGATACAAGTTTACAGAACCGAGGTCAAAATTCTCAAAAACTATGTCAAAGAGCACGGATCACTGAAGTGAGTCATTATTTAACAAATACCCAAGAACAAATGTTAACTGTCTGAACAAAATGTCAATAAGATATGGTAGGATTAATAAACTTTTAAACAAAGAACAGAGTATAAAATAAAAATTTCCCAGCTGCTTGTGCCCTGACAGGGAATCAAACTGGCAACCTTTTGGTGCATGAAAAAGTATCAATGTGACTTGAAAACATTTTATACAATGCTACAAACTTGATGCTGCCTGTCAATATTAATGATATACAATAACAAACACACTAAAGTAATCTCAATTCTACTCTTACCTTGCCATTGGTTCAACAAAGATCATGTCTGATCTATGACTCCTTATAGATTTTTAGGGTTATTTACTTATTAATCCAAAAACTAGGAAATTCTGAGCATATTTTAGAGAAAAAGAAGGAGGTTTAAAATAAGTCTTTCTAGCCCAGCTGGTGTGGCTCAGAGACTGAGCATCAACCCATGCACTAAGAGGTTGCCAGTTCGATTCCCGGTCAGGGCACATGCCCAGGTTGTGGGCCAAATCCCCAGTGGGGGGCATGCAGGAGGCAGCCAATTGATATTCTCACTCATGGATGTTTCTGTCTCTCTCTTTCCCTTCCTCTCTCTCTAAGAATAAACAAAATAAATAAATAAACAAACAAATAAAATAAGTCTTTCTAAACCCAATGTAACTGCCTATTCAAAGACAAGATCTAGTCAAGCAATATTAAAGGAATATAAGTAGAATATTTAAAACCTAGGAAAGGTAGATAATGAGGTTTTTTTAAATTTAAGAGATTAAAAAATGATGGGAATGGGTAAGGCAGAAATAAATATATCTTAAGTCTTGTTAATTGAAGATAATGTATCTAACAAACAACAATGTAGTGGTTTTGGAGGTTTTTTAAGTACACTGAGAAAAATGATCACTTCTCCAAAACAGCAATTTTGAGGCATTTATATATATTACTAGTGTAAAACCATTATTCTAAATTAGCAAAGAAAATAAGCAAAATGACCCTATTAAACGTATCACTGGAAAGGTACCAAAGAGGGTCAGACGGCTTGATGTTTTCTGAACAATTCATTTAAAAATATGTATAGCCCTGGCCGATTTGGCTCAGCTGTTAAAGCGTCAGCCTGCGGACCAATGAGTCTCGAGTTCGATTGTGGTCAAGGGCATGTACCTCAGTTGCAGTTTGTCCCCGGTCCTGGTCTGGGTTGTGAGGGAGGCAAAGAGTTGATGTGTCCCTCTCGAGTATATGTTTCTCTCTCTCTCCTTTTCTCTCCCTCCCTCCTACTTCATCTGAAGATAAATGGAAAAATACCCTCGGGTGAGGATTAAAAAAAAAAAGAATATGTATAAATATTTATTTTACAGCTACAATAACAAGAAAACCTTGACCTACTTAAGAATAATTGAGATATTGAACTCGAGTTGGAAGAGGCGAGTCCGGTCTCAAAATGGAGGTAAAACCGCCACCGGGTTGCCCCCAGCCCCCAGCCCAAGACAGCTGTCGCTGCGGCCACCGGGGGGAGGAGGGCCATGATCCAAAGGAGCCAGAGCAGTTGAGAAAACTGTTTATTGGTGGTCTGAGCTTTGAAACTACAGATGATAGTTTAAGAGAACATTCTGAGAAATGGGGCACGCTCACAGACTGCGTGGTGATGAGAGACCCCCAAACAAAACATTCCTGGGGCTTTGGTTTTGTGACTTACTCTTGTGTTGAAGAGGTGGATGCAGCCATGTGTGCTGGACCACACAAGGTTCATGGGCGTGTAGTGGAACCAGAGAGCTGTTTCTAGAGAGGATTCTGTAAAGCCTGGTGCCCATCTAACAGTGAAGAAAATTTTTGTTGGTGGTATTAAAGAAGATACAGAAAAATATAATTTGAGAGACTACTTTGAAAAGTATGGCAAGATTGAAACCATAGAAGTTATGGAAGACAGGCAGAGTGGGAAAAAAAGAGGATTTGCTTTTGTAACTTTTGATGATCATGATACAGTTGATAAAATTGTTCAGAAATACCACACTATTTTTTTTTTTTTTTTTTTATCCTCACCCGAGGACATTTTTCCATTTTTTGTTCAGACAGAGCGGGAGGGAGAGAGAGGAAGAGAGAGAGGGAGAAACATTGAAGTGAAGGGACACATCGAGTGGCTGCCACCCGCACGACCAACCAGGGCCGGGGACAAACTGCAACCGAGGTACGTGCCCTTAGCAGGAACCGAACCCGGGCCTCTCTGTACCTCAGGCCGATGCTCCAACCGCTGAGCCAAACCGGCCAGGGCAGAAATACCACACTATTAATGGGCATAATTGTGAAGTGAAAAGGGCCCTTTCTAAACAAGAAATGCAGTCTGCTGGATAGCAAAGAGGCTATGGAGGTGGATCTGGCAATTTTATGGGTCGTGGAGGAAACTTTAGAGGTGGTGCAGGTAACTTTGGCAGTGGTGGGAACTGTGGTGGAAGAGGAGGCTATGGTGGTGGAGGTGGCAGCAGAGGTAGTTATGGAGGAGGTGATGGTGGATATAATGGATTTGGAGGTGATGGTGGTAACTACGGCGGTGGTCCTGGTTATGGTAGTAGAGGTTATGGTGCTGGTGGTGGAGGACCAGGATACGGAAACCAAGGAGGTGGATATGGTGGTGGTGGGAACTATAATGATTTTGGACATTACAGTGGACAACAGCAATCAAATTATGGACCCATGAAGGGGGGCAGTTTTGGTGGAAGAAGCTCGGGCAGCCCCTATAGTGGTGGTTATGGATCTAGTGGTGGAAGTGGTGGATATGGTAGCAGAAGGTTCTAAAAACTTAGCAGAAAAGGGCTACAGTTCTTAGCAGGAGAGACAGCGAGGAAAGCTGCAGGTTACTTTGAGACAGTTGTCCCAAATGCATTAGAGGAACTGTAAAAATCTGCCACAGGAGAAACGATGATCCATAGTCAGAAAAGTTACTGCAGCTTAAACAGGAAACCCTTCTTGTTCAGGACTGTCATAGCCACAGTTTGCAAAAAGTGCAGCTATTGATTAATGCAACATAGTGTCAATTAGATGTACATTCCTGAGGTCTTCTATCTGTTGTAGCTTTGTCTTTTTCTTTTTCTTTTCATTACATCAGGCATATTGCCCTGTAAATTGTGGTAGTGGTACCAGGAATAAAAAATTAAGAAATTTTTAACTTTTCAATATTTGTGTAGTTCAGTTTTTCTACATTTTAGTACAGAAACTTTAACAAAATGCAGTTTTGAAGGTGTTTCCTTGTGAGTTAACAAGAAGATCATTGTTAATCACTATTTTGTATGAATTTTGCTAAAGTTAACTGTAAAGAAATACCTACTGACTTGCAATTTAAGGGGAATCTATTCTCCCCATTTCCAAACCATGAAATGAATGGGCTCTGAAATGTGGAGAGAATAGATATTTGTATGTTTGCAATGTGTGTTTTAGATAAAATAGAATTGGGTATTTAAATTAGCATATTTGTGACTTTAATGACAAGAGTTACCTTCAAATGAAAAAAATCTCAAAATTCCTATTTGGTTTTTGTGCATCTTCTTTCAAAATGTAATCATGATTTTAGTGTGTTAGCTTTGCTGAGAGTCCTACCTGTGTTTAGAACATTTCCATTCTACATTCACCTTGGTCATATGTGAATTGCTGCCATAGTTTTATTTGGGTGTAAAGAATGTCTACTGCCCTCTGTTTAAATTCTGGAAAAGAGTAGTGGATGGTTTTCCTTTCTTCGACCAAAAAACCATTCTAAAAAATGTATCAAAATATAGGACCACTAAGCCTGCTGTATCTGAGCAAATTGCCTCCCCCCTCCCTTCCTTTTTTTTAAAGCACAAGAGGCCCACAAATCTTTCGCTATTTTCCTTGGTTTAACATACATATATATTTTTTATACAAGCTCTCAAAGCAAGAGAATAAAAATCATGCATTGTTGAACCCTTAAAAAAAAAAAAAGAATAATTGATATCTAAATGAAGATAAAAAGAAAGTCTCTTTTTGCATAAGTACAGATAGGGCCTGTACTGGTTTGTCCTTTCTAGGAACAGTTATTTTGGAAAGGATCTTTTCCTAGTTTATGAAGATGTACGTAGGTATATAATTTGTATATCTAATTCCAGTGCTTGATCCCTTTTGTCAAAGGACATTCCATGAAAAGGATCCAAAACATAATGAAAAGCCATAAATCTCCTCCAAAGAAACAATTTATCATGGTACAAAGATTTTTATATTCTCTGTCTATCACATCAAAATAATTCTTCAAGCACCAAATCCCGAATCTAAAAGCTTAATTTTGCCCATATAACACCTATATTTCCCTATTAGAGATGTTATAGGTTATAGAGAAATTTTTCAGTTCATTTTCAAATATAATACAAACATTTCAGAAACAGTATTATTCTAAGGACCCAAAAACTCTGTCATCTTTTGGTACTCAAGATTCATCAAAGGTCATAGGTAGCCCAAACAATGCATACTTTCATTTCTTGGGATATTTATGAGATAATTTGCATAGATTAAAACATGCAACATAAACAAAATCCAAGAACCAAGGTCTAATTAGATTTCTGTTCAGAATTCACCGGTTTATCACTAGTGGCTTAGCATGACTTCTAGAGATACTTTTAACAGCAAAGCCCATAAAAGAAGCATATAAATAGTGCATTTTCCTTTTATTCCATATTTATACTATTCTTATACTTTTAAACTACTGGAGACATTGACAGAGTATAATTGTTGAATTCAGAGTCATTCACATGTTTACTATTACTGTACGTGATACATTTTAATAATCCATGAGAATATTTTCCCCAAATATATTTTAAAATACTAGAACCAAATATTTTATGCCCATAATTTAAGAGTTAGACTAAACTCTCAGGTGTGAAACATAAAGGAGAAATTATGCCTTACCTCGTACTCAGAAATTTCAGGTAAGTTACTTTCATCTGCCTTCTCTAGTTTTTCAGCAGCCCACTTGCTTGCAGCCTCAGCAAGTTCCTTTTGAGTTAGCTTACTGGGTTTGTCTAACACCTAATAAAAGCAAAAGAACAGTTCTGTTACAAATCTCAAGGGCTTTTAAACTTCAAACAAGAAGTACACCCCACTTACACTTAAAATCATATAAGCCTTCAAATACATATTGAGAACAAATACATTCTTCATTTGTTTTTCAAAAATATTCAACATTGAATTTTTTTTTATCCTCATCCGAGGACATTTTTCCTTTTTTTTGTTCAGACAAAGTGGGAGGGAGGGAGGGAGAGAGAGAGAGAGAGAGAGAGAGAAACATCGACGTGAAAGGGACACATCAAGTGGTTGCCACCCGCACGATCCAACCAGGGTCGGGGACAAACCACAACTGATGTACATGCCCTTAGCGAAAACCGAACCTGGGTCTCTCTGGACCACAGGCTGAAGCTCTAACCGCTGAGCCATACTGGCCATGGCTAGACTAGATCTTTTAATTCCATTTATATAAAACTTCAGAAATTCATCTAAGGAACAAAAGACACTGACAAGGAACTAATATACAAAATAGTATTTAGAACATATAAGACATCATATGGATTTCAACTTTCTATCCTTAATTATATTCAATGAAATAAATAATGCCAAAATCTCATCAAGGTGAATTCCTAATTAATGCAACAGGAAGTCCAGATATGCTACTTTTATAATTTGTAATAATGTATTAAATCCTATTCTATACAAAATCATTAATAGACTTAAATTTCATTTTTTTTTTTTTTTTTAATCCTCACCCGAGGACATTTTTCCATTTTTTGTTCAGATAAAGCGGGAGGGAGAGAGAGGAAGAGAGAGAGAGAGAAACATCGACGTGAAGGGACACATCGAGTGGATGCCACCCGCACGACCAACCAGGGCCGAGGACAAACTGCAACCGAGGTACGTGCCCTTAGCGGGAACCGAACCCGGGTCTCTCTGGACCGCAGGCCAACGCTCTAACCGCTGAGCCAAACCGGCCAGGGCTAAATTTCATTTTTTGATACTACTATTACTTTCTTCTTCAACCACATACAACACTAAACAAGAAATGAGTTGTGAAGTTACAGACAAACCTGGGTCTGAAAGATAGTTTCATCACTTGCCAGATAAATGATTTTACATATGTAATTTATGACCTTGTGAGTTTTGGCTTCATTTACACAATAGGTATAAATAATATTCACTGTTTTACTAGATTTATTAGGGTGATAACTTTATAAATTATATAAATGTCTAATCTCTATGTTGTATACCTGAAACTAAAATAATACCGTATGTTAACTATAATTTTAAAAAATTTTTATATTAACTATTTACAAAGTAGTTGTGAGAATCAAGAGGTAACAGACCTGAAAGCATCTAACATAATGCTTGGTACTCTGGTTTTTCTTTCTTTTCCATATTCATTGCTATAAATCTGTTATAAAAACTAAAACATATTTGAAGATTGATCAGTTCGTGGCATTAATATAAAAGTGAATAAAATGTGTTGTTGTTTTTTTCTAGATCACATATGATTCTCCTAATATATTTTATAGGCCTATGTTATAGAATAAGATGCAAAAATTGTAAGGCAAAAATTAGAAAAATTCTTTCCTTAGGCCCTTATGGTAACTTTCTGATTCCATTCTATTTCATTAGCATATATTTTCATCAATTAGGCCCTTCACCCCAATCTTGTCCTCACCTCTTCTCGAAAGTCACATCATTGGTCCAAATACATCTCCTTTGGATCACAGGGACAATAATCCCTATGTGATGGTACACTACCATTTATAAAGTACTTTCATATGTAAACCAAAAAAAAATTTTTTTAATTAAATGGTATTCCATGAAGGTGGCTAGGGTAGACTTTATTACCCCAACTTATAAACCAAGAACCTGAATGTCAAAAAAAATAGTGATTTCCCAGTTACTAGTAAATGCTGAGCTGGAACTTAAAACTAGGTCTTCTAAAACAAAAAGGCCCCTGACCTCCTTCCATAGCTTATTCAATTCACCAAACTACTGGCTTCTTGCCATCGTAATGTTTACTGGAAAATAATAACAATGACTCTATGTGGAGAGATTCCAGTTACTGAAGAATCCTAAATATCTATTCCAAAACCCTACCCATATATAAAGTTAAAAATGTGTAAGTAACACCTTTATTATTACTTAGTAATAGAGTTTTAACATTTTAATTTATTCTTTTTTTTATCCTCACCCAAGGACATTTTTGCATTTATCTTCAGATAGAGCGAGAAGGAGAGAGGGAGGAAGAGAGGGAGAGAAATATCGATTTGAGAGAGACAAATGGACTGATTGCCACCTGCACAACTCCAAGCAGGGCAGGGGATGAACCGCAACCGAGGTACGAGTCCATAGCCGGAATCAAACTAGGATTCTCTGGTCCACGAGTCGACACTGTAACCGCTGAGCCAAACTGGCCAGGGCAGAGTTTTAACATTTTTTAAAAAGTGAAATAAAAACACAAACACACAAATATATCAAAGAAAAAAATTATGCCTAACTTTTTTGGGGTATCTGTTTTAAAAAGAAAGTTATAGAGCAAAAACAACACAAACACTGTAAGTTATCTTTAGTAGTAAAGGAAGCAAAATCTTCTGTAACTCAATCCTCTACTCATCTGTCATTAAATCTGTACATTTGAAAAACTCTCATTTGAAACTAATTTCTAAAAGTAGAAATTAAATTCTGAAAAAAAGGCTCCTGACCTCCTCCAGCCACAATGTTTAAAAGAAAAAGTCCTCCACCAAATCAGAAAATCTAGGTAATAAAACTCACCACAGCTACCATGTAACTCTGGGTAAAAGACAACAAGAGAGCCCTGGCTGGTTTAGCTCAGCAGTTAGAGCATCAGCCCAAGGACCAAAGAGTTGAGGGGTTCGATTCCAGTAAAGGACACGTACTTCGGTTGTGGTTCGATCCCCAGCCCTGGTCAGGGTTTTGCAGGAGGCAACCAATACCAAGTGTCTCTCACAGGGATAAGTTTCTCTCTCTCCCCCTGCCCCCCATCTGAAAATCAATGGAAAAATATCCCCAGGTGAGGATTTAAAAAAATAAATAAAAAATAAAAGATAACAGGCAGGTGCACTTTCCAAAAACATAAAATGATTAGATCTAAAATCCTGAAGTTCCGATTCCACCTTAAGATAAAAATGCAAACATCTACATAAACTGTCAAACAAAACTATCTAAAATTAATTATCATTCTTTCCCACTAAATATATTTTCATGTGTGCCACAAAATTTTGTTATAACTTATCTTTATATGACATTACAGTTCAGGGGAAATGAATATTTCATATATCATAATTTAAATATTCACAGTGACTTGGATGGGCAAGTTACTCTTCTTTCATTTCTACCAAACAAGAAAAACAAGCTGGTCTTTCAGGTGGGGAAAGCATCTTTGACATGGTAAGAGAGAAAAAGAAAATTCAATCAATCTTTCCTATTCAAATCCCAGCTTTCTAGAACCCTGACTTCTGAGAAAGCTCTAAAGATACAAGTTGTCACAAAGATACCTTTTTCTTTTTGTTTCTTTGAGGCCGAGAAGAGCTGTCCCCTAAACAGTAGCAAAGACTGCCCAGTGATATCTACTCTTGCTGAAAAGCCAAACCAAAAACAGAAAAACAAAAAGTGAAGAAAGAAGAGAATAGAAGTAAGAACAGTAAGAGTGTGAGGTTGGTGAAGAGAGGCTCTAACTGTAGAGAATAGACAGAAAGAGCAACACCTCAAAATTTTCAAGTTTTGAAGACCAGAACAATGAATCATTTCTTCGACATGTTCTGGGATGCTAGGAAGGTAAGAATTGGAAGAATGATGTAGTGAAGAGTAGTTATATCCTTGAGAAAATTAACTTCTGAGCCTTTTCTATAAAATGAAGACATATACCTACTTTTTAAAATTACAAGATAATTACAAACATAGTGTTAGCGAACACCTGCGTCACCTCACATAATTACCATTTCTTTCTTGTGGTGAGAACATTTAGGATCTCTTAGCAACTTTCAAGTATATAATACATTATTATTAACTATAATCACTATACTGTATACTAGGTCCCCAGAACTTACTCATCTTATAGCTGGACATCTATACTCTTTGACCAACATCTCTTCATTTCGCCCATGCCCCACCCGTAGCCCCAGCCCCTAGTAACCATCTTTCTCATCTCTCTGTGAATTCTGCATTTTTAAATTCCACATATAAGTGAGATCATACAGTACTGTCTTTCTCGCATAATGCCCTCAAGGCTCATCTATGTTGTCATAAGAGGCAGGGTGTCCTTCTTTCTCATGGCTGAATAATATCCCATTATGTATATACACAACTTCTTTATCCGTTCATTCCTTGAAGGACACTAAGGTTTTGTCCATGTCTTAGTTATTGTAAATAATGCTGCAATTAATATGAAAGTGCAGCTATCTCTTCAAGAACCTATTTTCATTTCCTTTGGGCATATACCCAGAAGTGGGATTGATGGATCATATGGTGGCTCTATTTTTTATTTTTTTGAGGACCCTCCATACTATTTTCCATAATGGCTACACCAATTTACATTCCCACCAACAGTACACAAAGATTCCCTTTTCTCCATACCCTCCTCAACACTTATCTCTTACCCTTTTTTTTTTTTTTCCTCACCCGAGGACATTTTTCCATTTTTTGTTCAGGTAGAGTGGGAGGGAGAGAGAGGAACAGAGAGAGAGAGAGAGAAACATCGATGTGAAAGGGACACATCAAGTGGCTGCCACCCGCACGACCGACCAAGGCCGGGGACAAACTGCAACCGAGGTACGCGCCCTTAGCGGGAACCGAACCCGGGTCTCTCAGGACCGCAGGCCGATGCTCTAACCGCTGAACCAAACCGGCCAGGGCTCTCTTACCTTTTTTATGACAGCATTCCAACAGATGTGAGGTGACCTTTCATTGTGGTTTTGATTTGCATTTCCCTAGTGATAACTACTGTTGAGAAACTTTTCATGTACCTGTTGGTCACTTGTATACCTTACTTGAAAAAATGTCTATTCAGTTCATCTGATCACTTTTTAATAGAATTTTGGGGGTTATCCTATTGAGTTGTATAATTATGTTCTTTATGTATTTTGGATATTAACCCCTTATCAGACACTTGATTTGAAAATATTTTTTCCCATTTTATAAGTTGTCTTTTCATTTTGTTGACGGCTTCCTTTGATGTGCAGAAACTTTAATTTGATGTAGTCCCATTTGTTTATTTTTTGCATTTGTTTTTGGTGTCAAATCCAAAAAAATCACTGCTAAGACCAATGTCAAAGAGCTTACCCCCTTGGTTTTCTTCTAGGACTTCTAAGGTTTCAGGTCTTTAATCCAGTTCAAGATGATTTTTGCTTATAATATAAACTACGGGTCCAATTTTATTCTTTTGTATGTGGCTACCCAGTTTTCCCAACAGAGTTTACTGAAGAGATGGTTCTCTCCCCATTGTATATTCTTGGTTCCTTTGTTCTAAATTTATTGACCATATATGAGTGAGTTTATTTCTAAGGTTTCTATTCTGTTCCATTAATCTATGTGTTCACTTTTATGCCAATACCACACTGTTTTGATTACATAGCTTTGCAATATAGTTTTAAATCAGTAACTGTGATGCTTCCAGCCTTATTCTTTTTTCTCAAGATTAGTTTGGCTATTTGAGATCTTTTTTTTAGTTCCCTAAAACTGTTAGGATTGTTTGTTCTATTTCTGTGAAAAATGACACTGTAATTTTGATAGCAATTGCACTGAATCTGAAGATTCTTTGTATAGTATGGACATTTTAACAATGCGAATTCTTTCAATCCGTGAGCACAAAATATCCTTCTCTTTATTTTTTACCTCTTCAGTTTGTTTCATCCATGTCTTACAGTTTTCAGTATACAGAACATTTTTATGCTCGGTTAAATTTATTCCTAAGTAGTTATTCTTTTTGGTGCTATTATAAATGAAATTATTTAAATTTCTCTTTCTCATAGTTTTTGGAGACTTACTTTTCCAGTACTAATTTTGTATCCTGCAAATTCACTGAATTTGTGTATTAGTACTAGCCACTTTGGGGTAGATTCTTTAGGGTTTTCTATATATAGTATCATGTCATCTGCAAATAGAGACAGTTTTACTCTTTCTTTCCAACTGTATACTTTTTATTTATTTTCTTGCAATAACTGGTCTGGCTGGAACTTCCAGCACTCTGCTGACTAAAAGTGGTGAGTGGGCACCCTTGTCTTGTTCCTGATGTTAGAAGAAAAGCTTTTACCTTTGTGCCATTGAGTATCATGTTAGCTGTGGGCTTGTTATATATGGCCTTTATTACACTGAGGTACATTCCCTCTATAACTGGTTTGTTCAGAACTTTTATCATGAGTGGATGATAAAAAAAATGGATGTTGAATTCTGTTAGATGCTTCTTCTGCATCTATTGATATGGTCATATAATGTTTATCCTTCATTTTGTTTATGTGGTATATCACACTGATTTGTGGATGTTGAACCATCTTTGCATCTATGAAATAAATCCCACTTGATTATGATTTCTATCAAATATGCCCCAACTGAAAAATCAATGGCACTCAGTTATGCAGTTATGCTCAAGATGAACAAGGACAGTAGTAAGTACTAATACTAGCATAACCTGTAGAAAAGATTCTATGATAAAACTGCTCATTCACTCTGGTACCTATTTTCAACTTGTGATTACTTAAAATTCAAGTTTTTAAATGCAAATTACCCCCATTAGGTATGATAGTAATGAATAAAAGCATCTGTACTAGACAGTCTATATTATTTACTTTGTAATTCCTCTTTATATTGATTTTATAAATATAACAAACCTTTGATGAAGGAATTGTTGAAGAACTTGAGGGTGACGTGTCTCTTGATGTTTTCAAAGACTGAACAGGTCTCTCTTTACCTATATAAGAAAATATAAATGTAATTTTCTAACTCATTTGTTTTCAGAATGATTCTGTAATTGAATGAACAAGGGAGGTATACACTTATTTAGTACTGAAATCTTCTATTACATTATTAAATTAAACCTGTTAATATCTAAATCTACCTATCTTTCTAAGAGGCTCGGCACCATAAGAAATTTGAAATAGCCCTGGCCGGTTTGGCTCAGCGGTTAGAGCATCGGCCTGTGGTCCGGAGAGACCAGGGTTCGGTTCCCGCTAAGGGCACGTACTTCGGTTGCAGTTTGTCCCCGGCCCTGGTTGGTCGTGCGGGTGGCAGCCACTCGATGTGTCCCTTCACGTCGATGTTTCTCTCTCTCTCTCCCTCCCACTCTATCTGTACAAAAAATGGAAAAAAGTCCTCGGGTGAGGATAAAAAAAAAAAAAAAGAATAAAAAAAGATATTTGAAATAACCTAGAACCAGTAGACCTCATATTTGGCCACACCAATGCCAGTTCGTAAACACAGAACCACTGAGAAGACCTCGAAAAAGGCAAAATCAACAACAACAACCCATTTTTAAATCATAAGTGCGTCCTGCTCCAAGTTCTTAACATCTACTTTTTTTTTTTTTTTTAAATCTAAGTTTTAATACATCACAATAAAAATCCAAGGGTAGTTATTATATAGATACCAACAAAGAGAACTAGCTAATGAAGCAATAGCTTACAGAGAGAAGCATGTAGAAAATTTAGCAGGTATTCCTGAAATTTTTACACAGTTTAAAAAAAATAAAACTAGAAAACCATAATTCAGAGTGCTAATCCAGCACCTGGTATGAATGAGTACCTAAATATATGGCAAATCGTTAATAATAAATCTGTATGAGATAAAATCATTAACCTTTTTCTTTAGTCACTTCAAACACTCATGTCAGTGTTCTATGTATACCAATTTTTATAGAAACTTTAGCCAGAAATAGATTTTTAAAATATTACTTTAGCTGGTTCAACAATAGAAAAACAAGTTTAGTTATAATCATAAAAATAACAGTGATTTGTTCCTGACAGAAAAACATTTCATTAAATTGTCAAATATAACATAAATCCCTTCTTCTTAATTGCTAGGAAAGTTGGAGAAATTATGAAGAAAAGAAAAAATTGACACCAAGTTTGCAGTGACACAGAAGCTAGTCAAGACTAGTCAGCGAATTAAGGCCAAGAAAGCGGTCAAAAGCAGAGGCAGAGACAAAACAACTTGGCAACTGAGGCAAAATCATCTTAAGTCAAAAAAAGCCTCTTGGGCCCTGGCCAGTGTGCTCAGTGGTTAGAGCATCAGCCCAAGGACCGAAGAGTTACAGGTTTGATTCCCAGTCTAGGGCATATACCTGGATTATAGGTTCAATCCCCGTCCCTGCTCAGTGTCATGCAGGAGGCAGCCAATCAATGTGTCTTTCTCACATCAATGTTTCTCTCTCCCTCCCTCCCTCCCTCCCAATATATCTGAAAATCAATGGAAAGATATTTTTGGGTGAGAATTTAAAAAACAAACAAACAGCCTCTTAGGCTCTTTCTGCCATAGTCAATATAGCTAAGTAAGGGCCTGCAGACACACTGGACAGTAGTGAATAACACCTCTTTCCAATGCCGTTGACCAGAAAGGCTTTCTCAAGACCCTCCACCTCTCTAGAGATATTTGGCAATGTGTGAAGATATTCGTGATTTCACAAGTGGGAAGAGTGCCTCTGGTCCATAGTAAATAGAGGCTAGGGATGCTGCTAAACATCCTACAAATGATAGGACAGCCTTTCACAACAAAGACGTATCCAGTCTCAAATGTCAATTTCTGCTCTAGGCACATTATTCCAACTCTGAAGCTCCAACAGTCTTAAAAAAGACATAAATCTAAAATCTTTTGACTTGTGGTATCATTAAGAAGCTTTCACATTGTCCTGGCCAGTGTGGCACAGTGGATAGAGCATCGGATTGCCCACTGATGGTCACAGGTTTGCTTCCTGGTCAAGGGTATGTACATGAGTTGCAGGTATGATCCCTGTGTGGAAGGCAATCAAATGATGTGCCTCTCTCACATCGATGTTTCTCTTTCTCTCTCCCTCCTCCTCCATCCCTCCCTGAAATCAGTGGAAAAAATAGCCTCAAGTGAGAATTAACCAAAAACAAATACATTTTTTATTTTATTTTATTTATTTTTTATTATTATTACTTTTTTAATCCTCACCCGAGGACATTTTTCCATTCTTTATTCAGATAGAGTGGGAGAGAAAAAAAGGGAGAGAGAGAGAAAGAGAAACATCGACGTGAAAGTACACATCGAGTGGCTGCCTCCCACATAACCCAACCAGGGCTGGGGACAAACTGCAACCAAAGTACATGCCCTTAGCGGGAACCAAACCAGGGTCTCTCTGGACCACAGGCCGACGCTCTACCCGCTGAGCCAACACAGCCAGGGCAAGCTTTCACACTAAGCAAGTTTAAAAGTTCTTGCCCTGGCCCATATAGCTCAGCAGTTAAGAGCATCAGCTGGCAGACCAGAGTCACAGGTTTGATTCCAGTCAAGGACACGTACCTCAGCTGCAGTTGGATCCCCAGCCCTGGTTGGGATCATGTGGGAGGAAACAAATTGATGGGTCTCTCTCCCATCAATGTTTCTCTCTCTCTCTCCCCTGCTCTCCCTCCCACTCTATCTGAAAATCAATGGAAAAATATCCTTGGGTGAGGATTTAAAAACAAGAAATTCTTGTAGACCTTAAAAATCCAAAACAATTTTATACCAACCATCACTACATCCCCCAAAAATTCAGAACATGGATTATTTCATTATTCCCTACTGTATTTCTTTTGCACATGGCAAATTCCACATCATATTATGATTGTCAGTCTACCCCACTATACCAAAAGCACCTAGAGGAACAAGTCTCATAGCTTATTTATTTCTGAATAGTCAGGACCTACCTAGCCCACGTCCTTTAAGTTAAAGATAGACACCCAAAAATTTGGTAAAAAGATAATTTGGTTTTTTACCCGCAGAATGCAAAGACCTCCCCTTCCTATTCAGATAAGCTATTCCTTGAAAGGAGATGAGGAGCCGAACCAATCAGCACAGCACATTAAAGGAATTGTAGGCTCAATTCTGGCACATAGCAGCTAGACACAGGGGAGGAAAAAAACTTCACAACCCCGTATTAATCTCTTACTTAGCACTCCTTTACAAACAAGACATCAGCACTACAGCTATGCCAAATATGGTGCCCAAGTACAATCTTGGAACCTTTCCTGATTTTAGCTGCAGAAGGACTGATTTAAGCAGATTTCAACTAATGTCAGTGTGCAGAAGCAAAGAAATACTGAAGGTCAGGGCAGGTGGTTTAGCATATACCCACGTGTACCCACATATACCTAGTGCATGAAAGGAATGGACAGGCAAGAAGCAAAGGATAAAAAAGGGGGATCGTATACAAGGCAGCAGAAAAGGCACAGAGAAGGTGAAAAGAAATCCCCTGGACCTGCTATTGTCAGAGCCTATCTGCCAGTGACTTGTCTAGTCCATAGATCTCAACCTTCTATGAGGTAACTACTACTGACCAGGACTGGATGGCCCGACAACTAACCCCCCATGTCCCCTCAAATCCTAATACCTGTGTCTACTGTTCAACTCTGTTCCCACAGTAGACTACTGGAGAGTTACACACTTTTCCCATCTCTATAACCTCAATCAATCCAAGCCCCCACCCTTTCACAATCCCATGTCAAAATCTAGCTCAAAACTCACCTCTTTCTGGCTTTCCTTCATTCTGCCGTTTGTAGGAAGCATCAGCACGCACGGGTTCTAGGGAAAGGTGGGCAGGGAGGAATTACCACCAGCAGCACCTCTGTGCCCAGGAGGAACAACAGAACTCAGAAGTGGGAGTGTGATAAGAACAAGAACTTCTAAGCACTTGCTGGTGACCCTAACCTCTTTCCTAACCTGCCTTCAAGTTGGGCTGTCTCAGCAGCCACCACTGAAGAGGAATAACAGAACAGGAGAAAATCTATTTAAGATCAGAAGCAGATTGGGTCCAACAGTATGAAGTATGAGGATGAGGCTAACCAAGGAGAGCAGGGGCAGAAAGAATTGAGAAAAAAGGATCATAAAATAAGGCACCACAAGTTGGAATGGGATCATGTCTTACTCATCACTTTAAGAACCTAGTCTAAATTCCTCCATTAAGCCAACATTCAAAGAATTGGTTAAAGAACGACACCAAAACATCAAGAATGAAAGATGAATTACCACTAGAAACCAAAAGAACAGGGGAAGGTTTTCATAGTGTATCATGTGAGTTCCCTGGGCTTATAATGGTTATCTGCAGTAGTTATTCTGACATGCTCTCAACAAGCAGCCTATTACTAAATTGTGCTAATTCTTTTTATACAAACTCTCTTGTGTATGAATTTTCTTTATAAACAAATGCATAGCTGCTGTCTTAGCTGAACCTCATTATCCCATGTAAATATTTTATTAACTTCCTGCAAACTCTTGATGCAGATGGAATGAGCTTTCCAAATAGCCTAAATATACTAGCAGAGGCTCCCAGATGTCTTTGCAATAACATACAAATTCCTTCTTCTATTACAGATCCCAAATTGCCAATTTTACCTTTTTTTCTGAGAAAAAACAACAACAGTTTTTTCTGAATCATCTTGGCACTGTCAGCACCTTGCATTAAAAAATGTTTCAAGAAATATCACACAAATATTGCCCTATTTTTGCAAGCATATTGTTGAAGATATGTATCCCTCTTACTGTTCTCTGATCTGTCATCAGGAAACTTGTGTTCCTCCCGAGCAGCTGGTATGTTTTTACACAAACCAAGGGACACCTCATTTCCTCTTTGTTTTAGGCAGATCCTTAGTTCACCTACAGCAACTACTGAGAGCCTTATCATAGGCATTTATTTCATTTACTACTAACTTTATTCTTGTTTTTATTTTCATGTTATTTCCCTCTTACATAAAAGCCTTCATGGATTTCCTTAATCCTATTTCATTAAGTGTTTATTTTGTTAACCTGTCTCAAATTCTTTGTAGATCAAGATTGGGACAGGGATGTTTTACAGGTGTCTGGAGTCTGCTGCTGGCTCATATTAATTGGTTACAGTGATTGTCCATATCTCTTCCAAACTGCAAGTTTAATAACTCCACATCGGTAGCCTGAAATCAGCCATAGTGGTAGTATTTACTCCATTGATATTGGCAAATGTCACAAGTCAGGTGTTTTTTCCCTCCAAACAATCAGTTTACTAATACACAACTGGTGCTATGTTTATTGATTTCTATTACAAATTTCAGAGACAATATAGGAATGATCACATTTAACTACAGATTCCTAACCGTGCTGCCCTAAACAAGCTTGGGCTAGTTAATAAATCCTAACAGACTAGTAAAACCACCCAGCTGAACCTGGCTCAAATGGCAGAATCATAAAAAAATTAAGTGGCTGTTTTAATTCACTAAGTTTTAGAGTATATTTTAACACAAAAGATAATAGAAGCAACCCCACTGTGCTTAAATCTTCAGAGTTTCCAATGACATTTTATATTAAAACCAAGGGTCTTTCTTCTTGTCCTCTTCTACAGCATATTAATGATTTCTAAACAAGTTTTTCTTAATATTTTACCATTTGGTTTTTATGCCTTTGTACTTCTGTGTTTATACTTCCAAACTACACTTTTCTCTTTCTTCTTTGTTGGTTATTGTTCCTTAAAGTGAGTGTTCCTAACCACAATCCTTTTTGCTCTGCTATTCTTATGTGGCTCGAACCAACTCTATGTTTCTCAAATCCGCTTCTTTCATTCACACGTCTATTTCTAACTGACAGGATGCTGCTACTCCTTATCTATTACCTCAAATTCATCTTACATATGGTCTTAGTAAGCAGCACTAACTCCCTGCTTGAGAGCAGGGCAAAAAGCTCAACACATTTCTGCCTTTGCTATGACTTGCTAAAGAAAATAAGTTCAAAATTAAGATGAAGGAAAGAAACCAGGAAAGAAAAATTCTGAATAGGACAGTAAGGAAATCAAAATTCAAGTCAATATATTGGTGAGTGAAAGAATAAATATTAAGGAAAAAAATGAATAGGAATTTCCAATACTGGTTCCATAAACCAGTTATAAAGTTCTCTCCATGCAAATGAAATCAAAGCTAGAGAAGTAGGTTATTATTACAACAAACATTTAAAAGTTCTATAAGAATTTAACAATATTTGGTGATTCTCTGAAATAATAGCTGATATAAATATTAATAACAATATTTGATGAATCTTTAAATATAACAGGTATAAATCTGATACAACAAAAGGTTTTTCAGAAATAAGCTTTCTTTCTGATGTGTTGCCCTGATGAAAGCAATGATAAACCTAACCAGACTCATCCAATTTTAATTAAGTGTTGTTATTGATAATCCATGAAAGAAAAAAACATTGCTAGAAAAAAAATTATTAGAAATTATAAAATGATGAGCTATGTCTTGCAAACTATTAAATTCGTGGTACAGTGCCTGACTTATAAAAACAAAGCAGATACTTCTGAATGAAAGTCTTTTCAATTAAACTCATGGACATAGACAACAGGTGGTGACTGCTAGGGAGAGGAGGGCATAGAGGGCATATGTTGATGGAAGGAGACTTGACCTGGGGTGGTGAACACACAATACAGTGCACAGATGATGTGTTGTAGATTTGTACACCTGAAACCTGTATAATTTTATTAACCAGTGTCACCCCAATAAATTCAATAAAAAGAAAAAAAGTCTTTTCAATAAACAAAAGAGGTCATAGCACAGGTAATAGATCGTTCCCTTAAAGCTTTTCAAAAAGAAATTAAGATATGAACAAATGAAGATGCGGTGCTTACACAGAGGCTAAGGAAATAATTTATTTTTCTGGATCATGGATGATAATATACAAATCTGGAGCTCTTGGTTAGGAAGAACATGATTTCCTAGAGATCTACTGATTTATTCAAGAGGTTACAAAACAGAAAATGGAGAAATACAAGAAAATGCTCTTGTGATAAAGACTCCAAAAAACAAAATAAAAACCAACTAGTTGGGGTGGAGAAAGCCTTGCACCACTTCTGTCTCCCCAAAGTAACCATCTTCAGGGGGTTAACAATGCAACACGCCGAAGTAAAGGCATATTAACTATGAATATTTTGGAAGTGCACTTCTAAATAGAACTCTCCTTCAATACATAAGCTAAAACCACATGGGCTTGCTTTTTAAAAATATCAATAAGGTATTATATTATCTGCACACATTATGAAATGTGTGCTACTGACAGAACATTCTAAGTCCTAACACAAGAATACTATAAGTGCCTACACATATGGAAATGCCATTAACTAATTATTGTTTTAGAACCATCATCATTTAGATGCTAGAAAAGCTATAGTTGTACTCCTAGGATTCCCCCAGAAAACTCATAGCCAAAGCTCTCTTGTGAGTAAGCAACAGAGTCTAACAAAAAGAATAGATAGCATCTAATTCCGGAGCATTTTAATAGTGTGATCTGATAACAGTCCACAATCTTCCAGAATACTGAATTATATTTCAGGTACTCTCCATGAGATAGCTCATAACCCTTCACCACTTGCATCCTTCCACCAACTTCTACCCACCCTTCAGATATTACCTAAAATGTTTATTCCTGGGTAATGACTTGTTTATTTCCATCACTAGAAGACAAACTCAGAGGGCAAAGATTGATATTTCTTGCTTGGCAAACCATTTATTTGGAAAACATATTTGATGAATGAAAGACTATGAATATCATCATAAATACAGTGACTTTCAAACCAAGAAACACTATATTCGGCTGCTAAGAGAACAGGTTTAACCTTCCTCCCTAATCATGTCTAATATACACGATCTTAGAATAAAGCCTTATTTCTATATCCATCTAAACCTACACAGAAAAGCTTTCTTTCTAAAGGCAAAATTAAGCATCTAAATTTTATTGGAATTTCAGCTATAATCCAAAAATTAATGTGGACTTCCAAATTTATTCATAGCCTACAGGTCTTTAGACATGTACCGTTTCCATTTACACTGAAGTTCAATAACAGTTTATCTTTCAAATATTCTCTTCTCAAAATAAGTTATTTTTAAAATTTTTATCTTTCATTAAATTTACCGGGGTGACATTGTTCAACAAGATCATATAGGTTTCAAGTGTACACTTCTATGATGCATGATCTGTATATTGCATTGTGTTCCCACCACCCAAAGTCAAATCAATATAGTATATATATATTTTTTATCCTCACCGGAGGACATATTTCCATTTTTTATTCAGATAGAGTGGGAGGGAGGGAAGGAGGGAGAGAGAGAGAGATTGAGAGAGAGAGAAACATCGACGTGAAAGGTACACATCGAGTGGCTGCCTCCCACACAACCCAACCAGGGCCGGGGACAAACTGTAACCGAGGTACATGCCCTTAGTGGGAACCGAATCCGGGTCTCTCTGGACCGCAGGCCAACGCTCCAACCGCTGAGCCAAACCGGCCAGGGCCAAAATAGTATTTTTAATTCTTCTACATTTTCAATTATCTTAGAAGATATGATTTCAAAATGGATTAAACATTGATGAATAATTGACTTTTAAAAAAAATATTTTCTATTCTTAATAATGGTTGCTGATATCAAGAAAATAAAGAAAGCCCTGGCCAAGTGGCTCAGTCGGTTGGAATGCTCTTCAGTACACCAAAAGGTCACAAGTTGGATCCCTGGTCAGGGCATGTACAGGAGGCAACCAATCAGTGTTTCTCTCTCACACAGATTCTTCTCTCTCTCTCTCTCTCTCTCTCTCTCTCTCTCAAAAATCAATAAACATATCCTCAGGTGAAGATTTAAAAAAAGGAAAATAAGGGGAGTCTGAGCCCAAAGTCAGAACAATAGAAAAATAGGCACAGATCAATAAAAACAAGAAACATCCAAATCTTCCATAGTAAATGATATTTTAAAACTTCAACCAAAATGTCACACAGACTAACTCATAAATGAGCATCACTGGTAAAGTGACATTATATATCTGTAGCAAATGTTTAGAATGAATTAACAAAGCAGTAGTTTATTATAACTGACATAATCACAAAGTTCATAAGGAGCCACAAAGTTCATAAGGTAAAAAAAAAAAAAAAAAAAAGCCAGGCAATCTTTGTCATTGTTTTGACTGAGAAAATGCTTTGTAACTTGAATTCCAAGAAAAGTACCTGATCAAGTCTTCCATAAAATCCGTAAGTGGAAAGAAAGACAAGATTGGGGATCACACTGGTTGAATAACAGCCAATAATGCAGATAAATGGTTGAGCTTCACAGACAGAGGTCGCTAAAGGTTTCCATATTGGGCCTTATGTTACTACTCAACAAAATTATTAATGATTAATACAAAACACATAAAGCATACTTCATTTGCAGATTAAACAAAGCTGTTTTTATCTGCTGCTAATATATAGGATCACTAAATGAGATTTTTTAAACCTCTATGAAAAATAAGTCAAAGTTAATTAGATGAAATTTAGCATAACTAGATTTTTAATGCATTAACTACACACAAGCAAGTGCACCTGAAAAAATACAGTGGAAGAGCACCCTTTTGTTTAAGAGTCAAATATATGAAAACGGTTTAGGTCTCAACTGTCTACAGTCTCAGTAAGGGTCAGTAATGCAATATGGTTGGCAAAGTAAAAGTTCACTTCTGGCATCACAACTTGAAAGGAAAAGGAAAAAAATTTAGCAAAGCAAAAGGTCCGAAAACCACAACAAAGAAAAGGAACAGCTGAAAGAACTAAATATATTTAAATCTGGAAAATAAAAATCAAAAAGATTACGATGGGACTTTTCAGATACATAAATATACATAAAAAATATATATCTATATATCTTTATGGGTCTAAAATAATAACATTATGTACATGCATACAAAGATTTTAATTGTTTTATTAAAATGAGCTATACAAAGTTGGAAAGCTAGAATGTGATATAATAAACAACACAGGAAGTTAATAAAGAATGAATATGAGTGACTGAACTTAGTGTTCTCTGGTGTCACTATTAATGCTACAACCCTAAAATAAGATAAATAACAAAAGTTAAAGATAGGAAAACAATGGGATTCATGTAAGGGGAGTAAAAAAGGAAAATAAATATCTGAGAGCTGACAAATTGGGAGATGTATGGTTAGATTAATTTGAATAAAAATAAACTTCGAGTAAAAATATTCAAGGTATATGTAACAAAAGAATTTTAACTAGAACAGTATCATAAACAAAGGGAAAGGAAATGAGGTTAACTAGGACAACTTACACTAGTAGCAAATAAATATGAACAACAGAGACAAACAAAAAATAATGTTGTCACAGCTTGGACCAGGTTAGTCCAATTCGGTTATGGGCAGAAAAGTCTTATACGTGAAGCACAGGATAAAAATCAACAGTCTGATTTAGGAGGATAATTAGTCTTACGCAGAATAAATTTCCATAGGATTAACCCAGAAGGCCAAGTAAAAGAAATTTAATTAAATGCATGTGTGTGTGTGTTCGTGTGCACATATAAGCACAAAATGGGAAATAACTAGTTGAGATGAAAAAAGAGTAAAAATTATTCTGTGGCTTATAATTAAGCACGTAAGAGATATATTAAATGCACAGAAGAATAACGAAGAATTAGTCCTGAAATGGTTACCATGTGCCAGGCAGGTACTAGAATCATAGTGGGCGGTCTACTTCATAAATTATGTAAAGGTCTAACCACTATGCAGTACAGCTAAAACTAATATAATATTTAATGTCAACTGTAATTAAAAAATATTTTAGTAAAAAAAAAAAAATGGTTGCCATGGCCAAACTACTACTGAACACTAAAATAAGTAAAATTACTCTGAAAAGTATGAACAAAAAGAAAAAAAGAAAATGTTAAACAATTAGCAAAATTATTTTTTCCTGCTATTTATAGAAAAATCTATATTTATTTAATCTATAAAAATCCTGCTATTTATTTAAAAATCTATGGCAAAATTTTCCTTTACATTAGAAAACTAGATTAACACAATATTGCTAATTAACCCAGTTTAAATGACTGGACATTGAAGAACTCTGTTTCTCAGTCAATTTTTGAAGAAAAGCAAGGTGCTATAAATATCTGTGACATTTGCCCCAGCTGGGTTGGCTCAGAGGTTAGAGTGTGGGCACTTGGACCAAAGGGTCACAGGTTTCATTCCAGTCAAGGGCACACACTTGGTTTGCAGATTCAATCCCCAGCTCTGGTCAGGGTCATGAAGGAAGCAAGCAATCAATGTCTCTCTCTCACATTGATGTTTCTCTCTCTCTCTCTCTCTCACTCTCTCTCTTCCCCTCGCTTCCACTTTCTCTAAAAATCAATGGAAAAATATCCTCAGGTGAGGATTAACAAATATATATATACAGGTGACATTTAAATTTAAAGCAAAAACTGGCATTACAGTCCTTGGCCAGTTTTGCTCAGTGGTTAGAGCATTGGCCCATGGACCAGAGAGTCCTGGGTTCGGTTCCTGCTAAGGGCACATACTTTGGTTGCAGTCTGTCCCCAAGCCCTGGTTGGGGTCATGTGGGTGGTGACCATATGCATCAATGTTTCTCTCTCCCTCCCTCTCTCCCTCCCGCTCTATCTGAAGATAAATGCAAAAACATCTTCGTGTGAGGATTAAAAAAAAATTATTTGTGGAAGCCCCACTCTACCTAGCTCTAAAAATAGTAGACAATTAATAAATGTTTCTTAAGCACAGGAATCCAGCAACAGCTCCCCTGGAGACATTCTGATAATGTGAAGTGTTCTTCCATCACTCTTAACATGCATGAGGCAAAGACTGTTAAAAATCTTATTATTTGAAAAAAACAGTTAATAGAAAAGAAGTTAGAAAGAAAAATAAATATCCTAGACTTTTCTGATTTCTGTACCTTAGCTTATAATTCCTTATACCTAGAAGATACTTCTCCACTTATAGAAATCTGAAATAAAAAGTAAGCCCAGCCCTGGACAGTTTTTCTCAGTGGTTAGAGCGTTGGCTTGCAGACCAAAGGGTCAGGGTCGTGCAAGAGGCAACCAATCAATGTATCTCTCTCACATCGATGATTCTCCCCCCTCTCCTTTCCCACCTTCCGCTCTAAGAATCAATGAATATCCATAGGTGAGAATGAAAAAAATAAATAAGATAAGCCCAAATATCATTTCTTCCATGACATGTTCTTCCATCTCCAGAGTGAGAATCTCCCTTACTTTGACCAGCCATATCACATTAGCTCATTTATGACATATCGATTCTTGCATCAAAGTTATATTTTATATATGCCATATTTACAAATTGATAAAGTTGTTATTAGTTGGGGGGAAATACATATACATATTGTAATTCCTTAGTGGTAGGGATATCTTTCTATTTGACACAGAGCCTTGGATATAGAAGGCATAAGAAAATTTTTTGTGAATGAGCTCAACTGTAGGTAGCAGAGTCTAAAAAGATAAAACAAGAAGATTTCATTTATTTATTTCAACACACACTGAGCAACTCAGTCAGGATGACATGACTGCACAGAATGCCATGCCTATCCAAATTTAATGAAAACAAATTGAAGGTGCAAAAGAATAAACCTAAGGTAAGTTTAACTCTAAATTCTATAAGGCTATACCTTATATTTAGAGTAAACCACTGAGAGAGAGAGATATATATACACACACATATATATATGATACATACACACACACACACACACACAGAGAGAGAGAGAGAGAGAGATAAAGAGAGAGAGAGAGACATACTACACAGTGACAAAAGAGTAAAGAGGTTGGACCAGCACGAAACAGCAGAAAACACAGGAGTGTGTGATTTTCCAACAAGCTTATAAACACACCTCTTCAATTCTAAAGAATGAGGAGTGAAATGTCATGTGGAATGCAACTTGAAATGGCTCAAAAAACGAGCATGTGCCTGTGTGTATAGTATACTATTCTTTCAATTTTTCTTTAAGTTTGAAATTTTTGAAAAGAAAACGTTAAAAAATATATCTCTTACAACACCTATAAGGCAATCTGACTCCATATTTCCTCATCAGTGGAGGTTGTAAAAGAAAAAGTCTTTAAAATACATACTTCTGTGTTGAGACTGATGGAAAGAGTACGTTTTGCTTCTTTCTGGAGAGTAGCTTCTACTACTGACACTGGAGCCAGATCTGCTGTGTGGAGAATCCTTTCTGCCCACAGGTGAGTCTCTTAAAAAAGGAGTTTCTCTTTTATGAGGAGACCGGTCTCTCACATAATGGGAAGCATGGAAACTTTTTCTTCTAAAGCCGCCATCTCTCATGTCCCTTAGAAAAGAAAAGAAAAGAAGTTAATTATATCCTAAACCCTATGAATACAAAGACAAAAGGCAAAAGCTCTGATTGGAAGCTGCTCTTCAAGTTGTTACCTTGGTTCCCTTTTCTACCACCATCTAAGCCTGTGAAATAAGTCCACAAAATGAAACTTTATCAGTGGAATATGTTATAGAGTGCATCATTTTGTCACAGTTTGTGATAGAACCAGGTAGGTAAGTGCAAAGTTACTTTATTCTATGCAAGTAGATATTTTAAAATGTTAAAAGCATACAGTCACATAATCTACTTCTTTTTGCAATTAACAATATACCACACAGCTATCATGCTGTCAAAGACACCTAGGAGACGCCAAAGACTTTCATGGCCTATTATCCCCTTCTAAGTATGGTATGTGCTGATTTCAAATGGTGCGATTTTATCCCCCACATGACCATTTGCCTACACCTACAGACATTTTTGTTGTCACAACTGGAGAGGAAGGGGTACCACTGGTGGGTAGAGGGCAGGGATGCTGCTAAAACCCTACAATGCACAGGACAGTTCCCATACACACAACAATAAACTATACGACCCAAAACGTTAATAATGCCAAGGCTGAAAAACCCTGATAAATTCCTATTAAGTCCTTGCCTTCTGAATCTGTATCCTTAGTATTAAGATTGTTACCTAGCTCTAAAAACCTTTTTTTTTAAATCCTCACCCAAGGATACCTTTCCATTTATCTTCAGATAAAGTGAGATGAAGCGGGAAAGAAAAACATCAATGTAAGAGAGACACATTGACTGATTGCCTCCCTCACGACCCCAACCAGGGCGAACCGAAAACGAGGTACATGCCCTTGAATCGAACCACTGAGTCAAACTGGCTAGGGCTAAAAACAAATTTTTTATAAATCATGTTTATTGTTATAAATTGAATTTCTTTATTAGGTAATATTATTTCAAGGCAGAGAGCAAGCCCAAGTAATACAACTTTATAAAGCAAAATTATCTTTAAAACACAAAGCAAATCAAAATTATTAAATGAAACTATCAAGACTCGAGCTTCTATTTAAAAGAACATTTAGAATCAGACAGGTTTTAATTGAAGATTTAGCAAATATATCTCCACATTAAAATTAAAGAATTTAAAATTTCAGACAGAGAATGCTAAAAGTCAAACCAATGGCATGGAATTTCAGATGCCCAAAAATAATTTCAGCATATTGACTGGTAGTCCCCAATATGTAACCAGGTTGCTGTCATTAGCTCATTAGTATCCATAATATATTGCCTTTATAGATACACTTAAGTTTCTCTAGGCAAAAGCAGAAACAGCTAAACTCATTTATGATTAATGAACTGAAACAAAACACTAATACTAAAGTTTAATCACTAAAACTACAGGAGTCATATCAAATCACTTGGAGCCAGAGTGGTTATATGGGTATTGCACAGGTTTTAGGAACTGAACCAGGCGCTAAGGACCCAAATTGAACCAAAAGTATGCAGTCTCTGTCACCATGGGACACTCAGGTAAGTAGGAAAGGCTGGTATTAAAAAAAAAAAAACAGCCCTGGCCAATTTGGCTCAGCGGTTAGAGCGTCGGCCTGCGGTCCAGAGAGACCCGGGTTCGGTTTCCGCTAAGGGCACGTACTTCGGTTGCAGTTTGTCCCCGGCCCTGGTTGGTCGTGCGGGTGGCAGCCGCTCGATGTGTCCCTTCACGTCGATGTTTCTCTCTCTCTCTCCCTTCCTCTCTCTCCCTCCCACTCTATCTGTACAAAAAAATGGAAAAAATATCCTCAGGTGAGGATAAAAAACAAAAAACAAAAAACATGTGAATGCAATCAAGAGTGCATGCAGGGAGACTAATGGTAACCTACTCAGTCCAGGCAAGAGACGGTGGTAGCTTAGATATGGCAGGAACACAAAAGGAGCTACAAATTGAACCTGTACAAGAACACACCTTGGTAGAGTCAATGGCACATGGTAAATGTTTAACAAGTGTAAGTACAGTAAATGTCAAGCTGATTACCAGAATTCTGGCATGATGAATTACTGAAATGAGAAAAGAAAATTTTAAGAAATAGGGCTCGGGTAGGAGAAATCCACATTTTAGACTTGAACATGTTAAATTTCAAGAGCTCATGTAACATCTTGGTAGGCAACTAGAGATACTGATGCTAAGACCAGAAGAGATTTTTGGTTGAAACAATAAATTTAAAATTGTCTGTGGATAAGCAGTATTTAGCCTTGAATAAGGATAACAAAACAAGGGATGAAAAGAGGAGCCCAGAATTTGGGTCTAGAAAACTACCACATCTGAAAATAAAAGAGGAAGGTCATGGAAGCTGGTAAGTTATCAGGGAAGCCAAGGGAATAGTGCTCCAAGAAGGTTTACTACACTGAAATTAAATGAACTCTTACCACTAACTTACTTTAGGGATAGAGAAGAGCAGGTCCATATAGAGAGGAAAGATTGCCTACTTTCTCTAGGGGAAAGGAAAGAAATGCTGAACTACAGTTTCCTAATCCTGACACCAGATGGCGGTAAAACCACAACAGAACAAACAGTTCAGAATTATCATTGGTCGGGGTGGCTGGGTACACCTGGGGACAGTCATGTCAGATTTTAATATTTCAGAGCAATGTCTCTCCTCCCCTTCGCATCAATCTCTCTTACTGACCATGACATCAAGCAAAAACATCATAATTGGTATCATCTACCATAAGTTCTCTCTTTGATAAAGTGGTAATATTAGCCGTCATTTATTCACATATATGTATATACATTTTTTTATACATATGCCTACATCCCAATATATGACAAAAACGATGACAAATTACCCTGACTCTGAAGAAGCTCAGTATTAAACTGGGAGAATGGGGCATAAATGTGCCAAAGGGCTAGTGGTGTAAATCAGAAGACAAATGTGCATTAGATGGAACGTTGACCTGGAGGTTTTTAAAGATAAAATTCAGATCAACCTTGTTTTGAGCCACAAGTGTACTAACCATATTTGAAAAGTAAAGAGACATAGTTGAAATTAATTTTAGTAATTTTTTTTTTTTTTTTACTTAACCCAATATATTCAAAATATTAGCAACAAGCAATCAATATCAAAAATTTTGGAGGGATATTTTATATTATTTTTCATCTTTTTTTAATTGTCACCCGAGGATATGTTTTACTGATTTAAGAGAGAGAGAGAGAAAGAGAGAGAGAGAGAGAAACATCAATTGGATGCCTCTCCTATGCCCCCAACTAGGGACTGAACCCGCAACCTATGCATGTGTCCCGAGTGGGAATGAAATCCACAATCTTTTCCATGTATGGGATAATGCTCCAACTAATGGAGCCACACCCGACAGGCTACATTCTCTTTTTCATCTTAAATCTTGAAAATTGGTGTGTACTTTGTATTAACAGAACATCTCAGTGGGAACTGGCCATATTTCACATGCTCAATAGGCACTCAGCTACTGGTCCCATTTTGGACAGCACAAATTTAGATGGTGGAAAAGCATACCAAGATTCAAGAGAAAACAGAGAGGGATTAAAGGGTATTATGTGAATAAGAACAGAGTAGTCAGAATAGTGAAAAAAAAAATTAAAAGCTGTGAGTAGAAAGCAAAGGAAGAAAATTATTAAAAGGGAAAAGAAAGTATATCAAATACTGCAGAAGCTGGAAGAGATCTCTAAATTTAAGACCTAGGAGTCACATGACCAGTGAGTGGACCATCCAGCAATTTTGGAAGCCAAAACAGATGATAAGAAATTAAGATATTTTTACTAAAAGAGTTAAGCCATTACTTTTCTGCCAATAAAAGTTGACAGAGGGTAGGAGGGAGACAATTGGGACAATGTTTTGAGGGTAGGGGCTTATCTAATCACATTTGGAAGTTGAGGGGAAAAGTTAATTTCCTATAGAAAGAGAAACTGATAATCCAAGACACAAGAATGTTCGTTGACAAGGAAGGAGCCAAAAATCAACAGAAAATGAGACAAAGAAACTAAGTAGAAGACAATGACATTGAAAGAAAGACTAGAAGAAAATGAAAAGGACAGAAAGAAATATTATTTCCAGAAGAGAAATCTCTTCTCAGAAAGTCATCAACAGAGAGTAAACAAGCCCTAGCCGGTTTGGCTCAGCGGTTAGAGCGTCGGCCTGCGGTCCCGAGAGACCCGGGTTCAGTTCCCGCTAAGGGCATGTACCTCGGTTGCAGTTTGTCCCCTGCACTGGTCAGTCGTGCGGGTGGCAGCCACTCGATGTGTCCCTTTCACATCGATGTTTCTCTCTCTCTCTCTGTTCCTCTCTCTCCCTCCCACTGTACCTGAACAAAAAGTGGAAAATTGTCCTCGGGTGAGGATGAAAAAAAAAAACACAGAGTAAACAAAGTAGGAATGTGAAAGAAGCTTGAGGCAGAGTGGAAAGTTCTGATATTCATCCTTTGAGGGAAAGTATTAATTAGAGCAGTGTTCCTCAAAACACAAGTCCTTAGGTTTGCATTAGCATTACCTGGGAAGGTGATAGAAATGCAAATTAAGAGGCATCACATCATACCTACTAAATCAGAATCTGGGGGAGGGGGGTGAGACCCAGGATTCTGGGCTTTGACAAGGCTCTCCAGGTGATTCTGACGCACACAAAACTTTGAGAAGGTCCTCAGAATCAGAGAGCCTCACTAACATGTAAGAGCTATGTATATATCAGTATGATATCTCTAAGCCAAAAGCAGAAACTCATGAAACAGGCAGAACAATTCCCAGTGATGTTTCTAGGATTTGCCATGCCTGCAGATAGCTAAAGATAAAAGCTGAAAAACACAAGACCGACCTAGTGTTAAAAGTATTATCAAATCAGGATTTTAGCCAGAAAGTATAACGATGAAGGAAGAAGAAATGGGATCCTGAAAATTTATTAGAGAGCACAAGGAGGAGGTCAGAGTAGTTGGTATAAATAGGGAAGTTTAAACATGACACTGAAACAGTGTGATTTGGAAAAGATACTA